GTGAATGGTAAAAACTCATAGACAGATCTCATTAGTCAAGAAAAATCGTAACACACACAGAATATGTCTTTGGTATATAACTCAGCAAATCCAGAGAGATATATAACTTGCCTGTGGGAAGAGTGAAACTTAAAAGGTGGTCCATCGTAAAAGTTGACCAAGAAATCTTCTCCACATGTAGCGATTCGAAAAGGTCTCGTTGGTTTGAAGGCACAACTTAGAACCCTACGAGAATGTCCATCAAAATCTCCCATTGTGTTGCCAGAGTCCCATCTATATGTAATGGACACACATGTATGAGATCACAAATACAAATTGATCAAGTGGGTCATGAAAAATGGTGGAATCCAAGAGATCATTTCTGGTATTATAAAAAAAAAACACATACGAATACAATGTGTACGGAACTAGTCATGGAAATGTTCAAAGCTAGGACCTAACTTGCTAGTTAAGAAACTCAAAATCATTTAGGGAAGGAAGAATTATTAGTAGATTAATATGAAAATCACCAAATCATCATGGAATTAGTCATGAAGACGGTGGAATCGAAGAGATCATTTCAGGTAATAGAACACACACGAATACAGTGTGGAACTCGTCATCTAAAGAATCAATGCTAAGACCTAACTTGTTAGACAAGAAATTCAAAATCATATACTAAAGGAAGAAGTACTACTCGAAATTTAATCAATAATCAGAAAATCATCATTGAATTAGTCATTTAAATGGTGGAATCGATGATATAATTTCAGGTAATATACATCAGAAACATATACAAACACAATGTGGAATTTATCATGGAAATAAACATAGCTACGACCTAACTTGTTAGCCAAGAAACTTAAATTTATATATAATTTAGTCTACAAATCATCATGGCACTAGTCATCCAAGAGATAATTCCATGTAACAGAATATCAGAAACACATACGAATAAAATGTCGAAATCCATCATGGAAATAAACAAAGATAACACCTAACTTCCTAGCCAAGAAACTCAAATATCATTTACAAGAGGAAGAGGAGAAGAACTCACGCGAAGGCTCGAACAAGCGACTTGCCCTTCCCATCGCCAGAAGCAACAATCCGAAGACAGTCAGAAGACCACTGAAGATCATCGATCCGACCAGCAAGGACTCTGAACTCGTTCTTAAGCACAAAACCATTGTGTGTTCCCCAAACTCGAACCGTACCAGAGACATCAGCAGAAGCAATCCACTCCCCGTTGGGTGAGTAACGTGCCACAGTGGCAGCATAGCCATGTTCTCCGTATACTTCGACATCTTGAGGTCGCTGGAGGTTCCGAATCAAGACGGAGCGGCCGTTGCAGTAGAGAATGGTGTCTGATTTAGCGTCGCCTGAGATCAAAATGCCTCGACCTCGTTCTGTGGATGGAACACAAGGAAATGTCTCGACCAGTTTAGCCATGTTTGAATTTTTTTGTGTCGTATGGGATGGATTAGAGAGAAAAGGAGTGTATCGTTTCTTCTTTGGAGGTGAGTTTAAACGGGAAATTGCCTGAAATTCAGGATCTTGAACAAGTCTCGTGGTCAGATGTTGCTGATTCTAAATTTAGGTTTTGGAGTTGCCTTTTCGGTGGTACACCATTATTTTTATGAAATTTGAATAATATATAGATCAAACTCAAAGAAACTAAAACAATTAAGATTTTTGTGTCATCAACATATAAATTATAATACTCTACAAACCATTTTGGTAACTTTGCATTCATATAAACGACGAAAGACATTTTTTTCCCTAACACTATATATCCACCCTTATAGATAATTAAAACTTATGTTACTAAAATATAATTTTCACATTAGAAATTTGTTTTGTATTTTTTATTAAACAGTTACAATGTGAACTTCTAATTGAAAGATAACATATTTCGCGTGTTTCTATTAAAACTTTATATATCATATGCATAGTAAAATATATAACAAATGCTATAATACAATTATAAATTGTAATAAAACATTGAACGACCGCTATACAATACATATTCTAAACTTAGTAAAACAGAAAAAAAGAAATAGAAAACACATATTTTTATTTGTTGAAAACACATATATTTTCTACGCAATGTGGATCGTATAATATAAGTTGTGGACTCTGTAGAACAAGAAATAAATAGTTTTCAAATATTTTTTTCAAACAAATGTATGTAGCTAAATTTGAAAGTTTTTTTTCCCTTCTAAGAACTTTTTGACTACTTTGACCAAAAAATATATTTTTGTAACTACTATAAATATTTGTTTTAAAACTCAGAATATAAATTATGGAACGTAGAATATAAATGATGGACTTTGTAATTAACAAGAATTTTGTTCACATATCGATTTTTCAAAAATGTGATGTAAACATAATTTCATTAATGTTTCTTTCTTTTTATGTTCTTAAAATTAAATTTGAGAATTAAAAAATATTTTAATACATTGAATATAAATTATGGAACATATATTGTTCGTATGAACTTTGTAAGCAAGAGAAAGATTTAAAAAAAAATGATTTTCTTCAAAAATGTGATGTAAACACATTTTCATAAGTGTTTCTTCATTTGCATTTTGTTAAAATTTGGAGTATTAACAAAAAAATGTTAGACGTGGAAAACCTGTCCAGTCGTGGAAAGATTATCCAGTCATAAAGGATGAATTCGGTGTATTTGTCCCCGCTCGCCAGCTCCCTTAACCATAACCGGTGAACCATATACTATCAAATCTTGTAAACACAGTTTTTTTTTTTTTTTGTAAAATTGTCAACACAGTTATTATACATATATATTCTATTGGTATTGTTCTTAACAACAAATATTCTAATTTTTTGTGTGAACAGATGGTTACTTTGGGTGAGTTATGGATTTACGTGGTTTGAAAAATCAATTCAAAGCATGCAGGGAAATAAAAGCCAAGCGGCAGCGTAAAATATATTCAAAGAGTAGAAAATTCATTCATAGGAAACTCAGTTTTCTTCCTTTTGAGATATTTCTTATAATATTTGAAAATCAACCGCTGGACTTGGATATTGAATACTAAACTTCCCGGCTAAAAAACACACTTGTTTTTGTAATAGTATCGTAAAGCACGTTGTTGATAATGTTTATTTGGCGAATCGGCTTCTAGTTGTTTAATTTGGATCACGATGTACGTATCCAGAAGCAAATGTAGAATCTTAATGCTACTAATAAATAAAGTGCGTGCAGTTCTGTATTTAAAAATAAAATGTAAGAACGAGTATATATATCAATGGCCAATATTGAACAGCATATTCTTTATAACTGGAAGAGCTAGGTAGGCAACTTCGCAGGAAATGTTGTAATGAGCTTACAAGTTGCATAGATAATGGGTCAATAGACTAAATACTTAATTTGAACGTGATTACGTTACGTACTTGATAACTTACCTGCATGGTCTTACAACGTTCTTTGAACATTTCTAATCTTTTGACTGCTTGTTGTAAACTTGTAATTAACATTTATCAACAAACATGTTTATTTGTATATGGACTGTGCTCATTATATGCATGTTCACACTATTATACGTAGTTAAAATTCTAAAGTGCAGGAAAACCTATTAATTTTGCCAAAAATGGAGCCTATCAACTTTTTTTTTTAAAGTAAATATTCAGGCTCCATATTGCCGGCTGACTTTTAGTTTTAGCATAGTAGGGGTTGGCAACTTGATTTAGAGACCCACAAAAAGATCATTCAATCGTTATCAATGATCTATGTGAAAATATATATTGTGTCATTAATGAGCTTTCCAAGTTGCAAAGCAGACCATCAGTTTGGACAAGTTTTCTCACCTCTGTATGTATTAGTTGACACTTGCGATTAGGTCCACTGCATTAATATATTTCATATCTTAGTTATCGCTTTAGTGGAGCATAGTACACAAATTAGACATGAGTGACCCAAGTATAGCTGTGTTGATAGATTTACCTAACAAGTACATTCCCAGATCTCATCTCATCAGTAAAAAGGTACGGCTACAATAGAAAAACTTGATGATAAAGGCCGTTAAGTATTATAAGTCACCTGATAAGTCATTTCCTTACTCATTCACCTTTTTGTTTCCATGATCAACGTAAAGTATCAATCGGAATATAGATAATTAAAAGCAAAAGACCATGATTATGGTTAATTACCCACCCATAATGTTACTAACCGGTCTGCATGTGTATATGTCAACCAAATCAATATGGTCCACAAAAGGTGAAGAGTTGGACCGTATGATGTTAGTCAAGTTCAAAGTTGCTTACAAAGTCCTATTTTTTTCAACCTAAAATACACTTACCTAAGAGTGACACTTTGACTATTATTTTCCTGTTAACTTTTTTTTCTCCTTTTAACAACTTGAACAAATTAAAGCAAACATTGGAAGAAGATTACGTGAACATATTATTATAAGATCGTATATAAAAAAATCATATTCATATTATATTTGGAAAATATTATCCAAAATAGTTAAAATATAATTATTTATAGCACACTTTTTATTTAATTTATTTATTATTTCGTGGCAATTACTTAATTCCAATTTCCAGAAAATTCAATAACTTCAAGGTATGCCTAACATTTTTCAAATAAGAAAAGTGTCTTTCTCTTGGTAGAAAAATGTATTTTAGGAGTTATCGTCTGGCGTTTCACACATGTTGAATACAATAATACAATTATTTATAGTTTTTTTTTTGCATTATTTATAGTTGTGCATAACAAAATACAATTATTTATAGTTGTGCATAACAAAATAAGCTCGATTAAAATAACTACTTTTAAAATTCTATCGTCATAGTCAAAGGTTTGGTCCATGTATAACTGATAAAAAAAAAATGGACTCCTTTTCCACGTAAATATACCCCATGAGCACATGTCTTGCAAGCCCCATCATTTAAAACCCCAACGAGACCTGCACCGCCTTCAAGCTTCAACTGAAACAATCTTGATTTAAAATACCCAATCTTTATCCATCTTTTTGTTCTTGTCAGAGAAATCATTAAAGATGGGTAACAGTTTAGGTGGAAAGAAAACGACCAAGATCATGAAGATAGATGGCGAGACTTTTAAACTGAAAACTCCCGTGACGGCTGAAGAGGTCCTGAGAGATTATCCCGGCCACGTTTTGTTAGAGTCTGAATCCGTCAAGCACTATGGTGCTAGAGCCAAACCACTTGAGGTACACTTTTATATGCTTCCTCTTAAAATAGTATGTTTTGATGGATAAAGGAGTAGAAGATTAAAGACCATGATTAACCTCAGTCTCTTAACTGGGGGTTCTTATCCAGACGGTTATTAGTTTTTCTTAGATTTTAATTACGAAAAATTAAGAACCGTCTCTTAAGTAAGAAATATAAGAATATTTTTAGCCGAAAATATATAAAAAAATGTGAAATCATAAGTGAAGAACCCCGGCTAAGAGAACGAAGTTAATCATGCTCTAAAGCTCGCACTAGGAGAGTTTCGGTTTGGTTTACAAAGTATTGATAGAGTCTGTTTTGTTGATGACAAAAGAACTAAATCACTTGACTTTTGTCGGGTGCAGGCTAAGCAGATGTTGAAGGCGAAGCGGCTGTATTTCGTGGTGGAACCGGTGAAGGAGTGTCCACCAAGAAGGGCAAGGTCGGTGATTCACATGACTGCGCAAGAGAGGCTTGAGAACCTCATGCTTGCTCGGAGATCTTCTTCGGATATCTCCGCACTCAAACCCCCAGGAAAATGGAAGACCAAGGAGGAGGAGGAGGAAGAAGGAGGAGCAGCGAGGGTGAAGCTGAGGATTCCCAAGGCGGAGATAGAAAGACTCGTTAAAGAAGGAGCTACGGAGGCGGAGGCAACGCAGAAGATCGCTGCTCTCTTTATGGCAAAAAAGAACCATGACGAAGCACGTCAGAAGACGCTCCAACGTGGTGTTGACGGAGGAGATGAGCCCGCCAGTGCTGTAGCCACAGCCGCCGCAACGAGAGGAGTCAAATCTTGTCTGGTGAGTTGTTTTTTTTCCTCGATTTGTTTGCTTGCCTATAGTAATTAAATTGAGTAAAAGTGTAAAACTATATTGATTAAATAAAAGATACTGAAAACACTTTTATCTGTTGACAAAAAAAAAACTTTTATCTTTATATTACTAAAAAACTTATTAATTAAAATCGCCACTTTTAGAGAATGCCATAAATTTTGAATTTAATAATTGTACAGTGAAACAGTAACATTTTTATTGACAATTTGAACTTAAGAAATAAGTTTTATAAATTTAAAATATCAATTTAATAAAAAATTTGGAGCAGATAGAAATATATCTCTGATAAAAAAAAAGAGATATATCTTTGTTGAGGTCAAATTCTGCATGCTGCTTTTACACTCTTTGCATAGTAGCAACATGATTTTTTTTTTGTTTTTAAAGATGCATCTGTCTGAATTTAAATCAACCAGCAAAAACCATCGTTGGAATTCCTGTGTAACAATCTTGAAATATTTGTATTGCAGAAACGAGTGAGTTTTATGGCTGAAAAAGGAGGAAACGAGATCACAGTTGCTTAATGCTGAACCAATAAAGACAAATACGTATATGTATGTATAATAGACTGCTTCCCATCGTTCCTGCTTTGTACATAAAAGCAAGAGAGTTTGATAAGGAGCTATTGAATGAATACTTCATCCATGTCCCCACTCTGTAGCTAGACTCAAGAAGAATGTCATCTTTCTTTCTTCTATCTAACACATATACGTCTGTCTCGACAATCCCATTGATCAACTCTACCACATCTTTAAGCATTTTGACATCAACGTGTCCATTCTCTAATGGTACAACCATATTCTCCAGCGCAGTATTCTTGTCAACCTAGTCTTGAATCTACCAACAAAGTCTTAACACTTTCTCAAGCGTCCGTGTATCCACCTTCAAGAAGAGACATAAAGTGATATGTACTTGTTTCCCCTCAAAACTTGCCGTGACTAAGGATGTGAAAGCTTTTAAGACTTACCTCCACATCCATTTAAAGATTCTTTTGCTCATGATATTCATCCACAATTTAATGGCATTCACTATACCTCCTCCAGCTGGTAATATTTGGTTATCTTCTATCACCACCTTGTCAAATAATCCCTTCCTATCTTCCCTCTATCAATCAGCACCTAAGTTCGATAAGAAAGCTCATCCTCTGCATAAACTTGAACACAATTCTTTCAGCAACATCGATGTTATGTGCATTAATTCCCTGATACTTTCCCAACTTTAATCCTCTATGAACATAATCTTCATCCTTGCGCATCCATTCAACCTGAGATTCAACACATTACCAAATAAATCATTTTGACCGAAACAAAGATACATACCACAATACTTTGCTCAAATGGCTTCATATGTAAATACCTCAAAACAGAATCAAACCTTCAGTGAGGGATCAACTTGTTTAAACAACATGTTTATTTTTCCCCAAGTCTATATATGCTATGAACTCAATAATTAATATCCAATCTAATTGTTGTATATGCCATACGAAGCAATCACGTTTATCCAATGTATACCTTTTATAATTCAGTTATATATATATATATATATATTTTTTTTTTTTTTTCTTGAACCAAACCCAGATAGTAGAAATGTCCAACACAACAGAGTTTTTGCAGTTTAAAATAAACAAGAGTTTACAGATTATTAAAATAAATAAAAGCAGAGTTTTTTTTTTTTTTTTTTGATACTGCAACAACACAAACAAAGAACTCATAATCAGTATCAGTCCCCCAGGTCAGGTTAGCAAATGGTATGCTTCATCCATCAGCAACCCTGGCCACACATTAGGATCTTCTGGTTGCTTACTCGGAGTTACCAGGACAAGATAGTAATGTCTTGACTCCATAAGTCTAAACACGGTGATGTAAGGGCGGTCACCTTTTAATTGACCAGAGACTAGGATCAAACTTGCTTCATCACGATAGCGCGGAGGAGAGTCCCTTGACAATAAAAGCATGTCATTTAACATTCTGATACGTCTCGAGGAGGCATTATTCTCTCCGGGAAGAAAGTAGATTTTGGGAGCCCACGTCTTTTTACACACCAGAAGCTCAGAATCTTTCTCAACATAAGCCCATATTGAAATCTTACGGCTAAACCCCCTTTTGAAAAGAGCTTTTGAGATTTTTTTAAAGATAACATCAGGAGAGGAGGAGAAACAAAGAGGGAATGGGCAATCCAGAGCGTCCCAGAAGACCACTGTCCTTTTCCCTTTGACGTGTTTGGCACGCTCTGAGGTAAAAAAAAAATAACAATTTTATATAAATATATATTTTTTAAATGACAGAAGAAATCTTTTTTAAAAAAAAACGATTAATTAGGGATGGTCTTGACTCTTACCGGAGAAATCTATCATCTCTGTGGAGTGATTGTTATAATCCTCCTCCTCGTTAATAAATCTTCTAGGACCGCAGTAATCTTGGCATAGATCCTCAGGAGTTAGCACATCTTTGTGTATAGGCTTTCCTCCACCTAAAAGTTGTGCATTCTCAACTAGAGATTCAACACTAAAGACACATTCTTCATCATGTGGAGGCTCTATGAGGAGAGAAGTGTGTCCCCTCGATTTCAAACACCCGAGAACCCTAAGGGCATGATTAACCCACAAACCCTTTATGGGTTTCTTATTTTATTTTTTTTTTTTTTTTTTTTATTTTTCTTTTGTGATTAAAAAAATATAAAAAGTGAGAACTAATAGCGGGCCACCACGTGTCAGTGGGGTCTGCAAACAGTGCAAAATACATCTTTAAACCGTTTCTTATTTCAGCTCTTTTCAACCTGTTTCTTATAACTTTTTGATGGGGCCTACGTATAAAGTCACCTAAGAACCCTCCTTATGCCTTGCGATAATCGTGGCCTAAGTAACTCATCACTTGGTTTCTTCGAGATTACCGCTACATTACAATGTCCTCGTCCGGCGTATTCTACATTCATAAGAATGTAGTAAGTCATATTCACAGCACCCAGTTTGTCCTTGTAAGCCTTTGACCCTAAGATAAATAAATTAAAATTTTAATTTAATTTATAAATCTCTAATTTTAAAAGAGAAGGAAATTGCCTTCGGGTAAGTATACAAGTCTTCGGGTATCGCACAAGACACTGAAGTCGTACTTGAGTTTCTGACAATACATATAGATGTGCGGATGCCCACAAAAGCCCATTACACGAAGAGCAGAATATATCTTAGCATCAATAGGTACAAGATGGGTATTATTAGGGACTGGGTAGTCATCTACGTTCCAGAAGATGACTGTATCTTTCGCTTTGACCAAAAACAAAAGAAAAGGGACAAGTCATGTACGGATTTAGGATCATGTTACTATGAGAGATTGAAATCTAATAGAGACTTTACGATCATGTTACAAATTTCGAGATGGAGAGAGAGAGATCTTACGGGAAAAAAATTCGATCGTCTGGCCTTCGCTGCCCATGGTTCCACCGATGATGATTGGGGGTGGGACTTTCACTCGCTATATAAAATTAGGGTTCGTAAGAGCATTTTTATAAGAGCATCCACATTGGTGAACCCCCCATGGGGTTCACCAAAAAAAAAAAATGATTTTTTAATTTTTATTTTGTTTTCTAAAAAAAAAAAAAAAGAAAAAAAATTCGGACAAATGGGGTGCCGCCACGTGGCGAACCCCATGTGAACTAGGTTCACTACCATGAACTTTTTGGAGAGAGGTTCACCCAAATAATATTATTTTAATTATTTTTTTTCTTGGGAAACGGGTGAACCCCCCCTTATGAAACTCTAATGGAGATGCTCTAAGGATTAACCAGAAAAATATTTGAAAATTTGCGGGCTCCACAAAAGTCACAAGAAACGTGGATTGTGCATGCAATCCGATTGTGTCTGACTTTCAAGACTGTTACTGTTAGGACTTTTAATTTTAGTTTGGCTGTTAAAACTTTTAAATTTAAAAATTAAAATTGGCTTTAGAAATATTTAAAAGCCTGAAATTGTGGTTTTGAAAATCTAAGTCACGTTAAAGAGTAAAGTTAGTTATTTTGGCTGTGAAATTTTTTAGGAAGGCTTTTAGGACTTTAGAAAGTTTAAAGTCTGATTGGAATAAATTTGGCTTTAAAGACTTTACAAATAATTTAAAGCCTCCAAAGTCTCTACAGCTAAAACAACAATCGGATAGTTCTGTTTCCTATACTGTTTTACACGCTCCATGACATCTGGCAATCTATAATTGTTTTTTCTTTTAATTTTTTTTCAATCAGCCAAAAGAAAATTTTTTTAAAAAAATCTAAACTAGACTAAGAGCACCCGCAACCACGGGTCCTTAGGAGAAATCCTTAAAGAAATATGAATTTTATAATCAATAGGTCCCATGAACAATTAAGGATTTTATCCTAAAAATCCTTATTTAAGGATTGATGCTTACACTATTCGCGGACTCCACTGCCCACGTGGCGGCTCGTGAATGGTCAGTTTTTCTTTTTTTAAAGAAAAAATCTGAAATATCCTTATATAATCCGAAATACCCCTTTTTCTTTTTCCCTAAAGATTCCCCCTAATGACCCGTGGTTGCGGGTGCTCTAAGAGACAAACCGATAAAATTTTTCTAAGGTGTGTCTAAGGATAAGAGAGAAGGTTCTTTTTCTTTCTTTCTTGTCTTTCTTCTTTTGACTAGTTTTATATATTTCCTCCTTAAGATTTATGTACAATTCCACGTTCCTATATATTAATTGAGAAACATTTGAAAAAATGTAACTTTAAATCCATACATATTAATTAAGGAACATTTGAAAAATGTAACTTTAAGATTGTATTAATTAAAAAATAACTTTATCATATGTGACATCTCTCTATATCTTTTAATTTTGAAGGATTCTAGGGAACTATAGTCTAAAAATTATATTCTCTAGAAATATAATATTTTCCAAGCTTTAATTGTTTGCATATATCAAATATTTATTGTTTCACAGATTTTCCTTAAATAAAACCTACAAAATTACTTTATATGCTTGAAATATATATAGCAATTAATGATTTTAAATAATAAATATTTGATAACTATATGTATACTTTTGTTTATTTCTTTATTATTAAAATAAATTACATAATTACATTAATCATAACAAAAATATAGATTTTTTGTGTATGTTGTATTTCAATTTTTTTCAAAACGAGTATAAATTACTAAAACTGTTAAAAGTCCCACATAAAGTTTTATGATCAAAGTTTAAATTTTTATCTATATTAAAATACAATGATTTTAAAACCATATGAAGAATTTTTTTTATTTTAATATGTTTTATGTTACTTTATATATATACATACATATATATATATATATTATATTTCATATCTTTTAAGTTAAACTATACATCATAGGAAAATACATACGTATATTTTGATATTTGCATTGAACATTGAAAAGTTAATATTTAATTTTGAAATATGTCATTGTTTTTCGATTATAAATTATTGAAATTACTAAACATCTCGCATTAAAAAAAATTGTTTGTGTAAAATTTTGTTAAATAATCATAAAATCAAGTAGAAATCTCATTTAATAAATATCCATATGAAAAGTGTGCTATATAGGGCTGGGTAAAAAACCCGGATCCAAAGAACCGAACCTGATCCAAAAAAGTAGTATCGAACCCGAACCGAAATTGATTCAATATCCGAATGGGTTCAAAATTTTGGTATTTAAAGAATCGAAACCGAACCCGACCCGAACCGTAGTATTTCGGGTATCCGAATATATCCGAAAGAGATTTATATACTTATATATTAGTTATTTTTAGATTTAATGTATATATAAAAAACAATCAATATATATAAAATACTTTGAAGTTGTTCAAAATACTTGTAAATATATGTAAATTGTCAAACATACATGTCTAAAATTACTAAAGTACAATTAAAACATCAAAAATACTTTAAGTTATTGATTCACAATCCAAATATTTAAATCAAACTAATTTATATGTTAATTTTAGGCATTTTGACTTATGTTATTCAATTATTTGTAATATATTATTTTCTTTATAGATTTTTAGAAATTTAAAGTATATAATCAATTTTAAAATTTTAAAAATAATTTAAATGGGTTATCCGAACCCAAACCGAACCCGCAAAGATCTGAACCGGACCCGAACCGAAATTTAGAAATATCTGAATGGGACTAAAATTTGTGAACCCGAAACCAGGATAGATCCGAACCGAACCCGAATAGGTACCCGAACGCCCACCCTAAGTGCTATATATCTATGTTAATATCATTTAAATTTAATTATATATCATATATGATAGATAAGATTGATTATTTTGATTTATTTACCCTAATTGCAAATAAATAAAAGTGATAGTTAGATTTATATGCACGACCAATTTATCACATAATAGTAACTGATTTCTTAGTTATTTAATATATATGCTTATTATTTTATTATTTCATTATATGCAGAAAAATCTAAATAATAAATATAAAATACTTATTTTACAAAAAATGCAGATCTTAACCTAAGTATGTATCTCTTTATATTTGCTAAATCTGAGACCAAAACAAACAAACAAATGAGAATAAACTTCAAAATCAATATTTATATCGAGAATAACCAATATGAAAAAGAAAAAAAAAACAGAAAAATATTAAAGATAGATAGGACTGACACGTGAACGTAACTTCTCATAACCATAGTTGATTTTTAAATTGTTAAATCATTATATAAAATCGAACTGAAATAGTTTCATTGTAACCAAATGAAACTGAGATTTTTTTACCTTAACGTTAGGTTCTTTGCGGTAAGTGATATTTTGACCTAAAATATTTTTAAAAATGAGATAAGCTCATCAGTAAATAAATTATGTAATTAACAAAAAAAAATTAAAAAAATCGTTTAATGACCAAAATTTTAATTCAGTCAAGAATATATATTTATTTTTCCAAATAGTATTTTTAGTTAGATTTTATATAAATTTATCATGCGTAAAACGCAGATCTTATCCTCCTAGTTTCTTAATTATTGCATTACTTTTCAATTGACTGATAGTAGATTTCTATTATACAAAAATATCTCCCAAAATTATGAAAGCGTGAGAAACACAATTTGATGGCGTGGACAAAAAACAACAACTATTTATGGCATAATATACTAGTCTGGGTATATGTTGTTGTGCGTAAAACTGTTGGTAAAATAAATAAATAAATGGTTCTACATAGGCTAGTAAAGTGAAGAAGACCCACAACAAAGTTCAAACATCTCTACGTCGGTTCATTTGAAAATTTCAATAATGCCAAACAGCATTCAAAACCAAGCCATCGTCTCTCCCCTGTCCGTATATCTTATATACATTGCTTCCATCAAAGCTTTCTTTTATCATTTCCATAATTTCCATTTCAACTCAAAATATCTACTAGCTAATTTAGCGTTTCCTATAATCAACCATTTGATTTAGATTCAATCACACGTTACCATATATCTGACCCATAGGACCGAGTTTTTACATCAGGATGAGGATAATGTGCAAGTTCATTATGGTGATGTATTTTATAGCTTTGGTTGGATCAAGATCAGGAACCTCTGCGACGAGGCTACCAATATGGAGGATGAATAAAGAAGATACTGGAAGAGACTTTGCTTTGCAGAACAAGCTCCAACGTGGTCCAGTTCCTCCTTCACAACCTTCTCCATGCCACCATAGACTAAGCCCTCTTTCTCATTCGGAGGTTTATTCTGCCCAAAACGATGTTGCTTGCCCTTGACCATGCCTCCTTCATTAACCATGATCGACCATATGTTAAATTCTTTATATCTTTTCATATTTTATCCGTAGATAATTTGATCAGACTCATTCAAAATCGAAAGAGTCATATGCAGAATATGCTTTGGACATAAATTAATCAAAATTTGTGTTATAAAATTGGTGACTTGATTATTGACTCACTGTCCATTTGACTAACTAATTAATAGAGATGAAATCTGAGATGTATGTTTTGTCCTCAGAAGATAACTTGACACTGAAAATAATTAAACTTTAGAAACATTTTGAGCGATTATAGTGGAAAGATAAGTTATGTTCATTTCCTTTGCAAGTGAAACTAGTTGGTCGATATATGACAAACGAGATACTATATTTTTTTGTGCACAACTTCTATTATTTACAACTGAAGCATAAGATCCCAACGCCAAGCTCAACGGTAGGAAAAAGCTAGAAAACATTACCAGACAACTAAAAATAAAACCATCAAAAGGCAAATCATGCTCAGCGAAATGAAGAAATCCAAATGAAAGCTCCACTTTTGTTCCTAGGATGACAAACAAGGTACTATATATACCATAAAAATTATCATCAAACGTAGTGTGAAAACATACGTTTGATTTTGATCTACAATTTGTTGAAATGATACATTACCAATAACTACTTCTTTTTTGCAAACGTGGAAAACAAGAAATATATAGTGGAAAAGTAACAAAAAAAAAAGGCAAGTAAAAAATTCAAAGTAAGGCGGATGACTTGCATTACATAGTCAAAATGAATAAATCATATACACATAAAAAAAGACGTGCCAGATTAATGAGCCTCTGTTACCAAAAAAAAAACAGATTAATGAGCATCGTGCAGCAGTGAGGGCATGTTTCTGTTCTTCTTTTAAGACTTTTCTTCTTTCTTCTCAGTTGGCGCAGCAAATTACTGACTATTTTACATCTCCTTTTTAGATTATTTCATCTATTGAGAAGTCGATGTGACACCAGAGTTTTTGTAAGTCTATGAACTGAAACACCTTCCATCTGCTCATGTGTTGTCTAAGATCATAATTCAAGCTCTGTCTAATTCCATTTGCCCCCTGAGTCTCTCTTTGTTCCATATTTTCTGAAACGTAACATATATGTTGCCTAGAATTTGAATGTGGCGATAACGATTTGATACAAAAGCGATTCCACATAAAAGTACTTCTGTTTTTTTGGTGAGATATCAAAAGTATTACCTATCACGAGCTTCTCAAATGTGATATTCAGATTTACTGCAATATGCTATTGTTCAAAAGTAAGCTACTCTAAAAAGTGTGAGAATCAGCAGCTTCCATTTCATGATCCGACCAAATGACACTACAAGATGATCTGTATTAGGCCTCTCCTATTACAAAACCAAAAACAAAAAAAGTTGACAATTCAAACAAAAAGAGCTAAGTAGTCTTCTTGTCCATGTTCGTAATGAGATTCTTCATCTGAAACCTCCAGAAACAAAAATAAGCAAAACCAAGCCCAACCAAAACATAAATCCAAATCTTATCTTCCCCACTCTCCTTCTCCGACAACACCTCTTCAATCCCAAACCACTCCCTCTCTCCTCCCTCTCCATAACTTCCCATTATACCCTCCATCACCCTCCCATACAACACATACACCCTATCCCTCGCCGCCACCGTAACCGCCGTCGGAAACCCCTCCACATCAAGCTCCACCTCGTCGTATATCACCCCTTCCCCCCAGCTATCATGGCTCTTCACAAACCAAAGCTTCCTCTGCGACACCACCACAACCGTCCCGTCCCTCCTCCTCCTCGCCACCCCGTCGGCCGCCACCATATCTCCGTTAAGCACCACCATCCTTGCCGTCCCGGTCTCCTCGTCCACCTTGAACATCTTCCCTGTGTTGCTCTGCACCACCAGGAGGTACCCCTTGCTGTTGTACACGATCCCGTTCAGGCCGCTGTCGCGGAAACTGGCGTCCGCGTCAGCAGCCACGGGCTGGGAGTTGAACAGCGGCGACCTCGAGAAGATCGCCGCTGTTCCATCCCGGCTCACCTTCCAGATGAAGTTCTTGGCGGAATTCGTCACGTAGGCGTTGCCGTTGTAATCGACGGCGACGTCGTTCGCGACATCGCGGACGATTTCGTCGTTGCCGGGGAGAGACGGGAGAGGGGAGAGGAAGATCCTCCCGCCGCCTCCTCCGGTGCGGAGATCGTAGGCGGCGAGGGCGGAGCAGGGAGGGAGAGGCGGGAGGCAGTGGATCGCGGCGAGGAGGCGGCGGTTAGAAGAGTCGACGGTGATGCCGAGGATGGTGGCGTTCTCGGGGAGGTAAGGATCGGAGATTAGGGTTTGTACGACGCCGGCGTCGGAGACGGAGTGGATGGTGCGGGTGTGGAGGGATCCGACGAGGAAGTGTTGGCCTGCTGGGTCCCAGGTAAGGCCCTCTGGGTAGAGGGCGGGGGAACGGAAGTTGATGACGTGGCGGTTGGTGGAGGAGGAAGGGTTTGGGAGAAGTAGCGCGGTGAAGAGGATTGAGAGGAGGGAATACGATCTGGATCGTGTTGATTTCATGGTTGCTTCTTTTGATTTGATTCCGATTTAGGAAATATCTGAAAATATATGGGAGACTTAAATAAAAATTTAAAAAAAATCAACTAATGGGCCGTATATTGGGTAAAGATATACGAGTGACTTAATAATTCTGAGCCCAGTTTCTTTGATTAATTATGGACATTCAGTTTTCCTAATTTTTTTTGTTCTGGACTTATACTTAAAGAAACCGAGTATTAATGAAATTATATTTGATGACACAAAAAAAATAAGAAATTATATTCAGATTCAGCTTAGATAAATCAATTTTCAGATTGATTTGATTAAGGGGTTAGTGGGACTTAGATTTCTATAGAATTATAGAGAATTTTGTATATTGTGAAAATCTATGAAAATAAAATATTTATAACATCTTAAAAATCCAAGGGATATATATAATATTCTCAAAATATTGTTTTGTGAATTATAATGTCAAAGAATATAACTCTCAATAACATTTACTTTAATTGACTTGTAGAATCTTTAAAATCTAAACTTTGTTATTGAATTATAAAATCATCAAACCAACAACATTAAACTTTAATGAAAATGTAAGAACCAATACACCAATAACACAAAATTTGAAAATTCTAATAATCTTATAAATTTAATTCTCAATGACATGGAATAGATTATGTCAGAATTCTTTTTGGATTTAATTTGATTTTAATTTTGGGCTTTTTTGCTCAATAACCAAAAAAAAAATCATTTAGTTTTTTAGAGAGAGTGGAAGAGAGAGATAGGAAGGGGAATGAAGAGAGAGGGGGTATTTTTAGTTAGATAATAAATTTTGGTTTTTTTTTTTGGTTATTTCAGCCAATTTCCCAATTGGATAACTAAGAAATTATGATAAAATATGGGATAATTCAATTTTTGGGGATTAAATATTGATTTTCAGATAAAAATATTGAGTTGAAAAAACTTATTTCAAGAACAGTACCAGGCCAACTGGATAACAGTCAAGTTTACACATACACAAATAAACAACCATTCTCATATGCTCGGATCATATAATTAGATAGATTGTAAACATGGTTCTAAAGAGAGATACTGTATATAGATGAATTCAAGTTCCAAGAGAAACCATTACACACAACATGACCACATCAACAACAATGAAGGAAGAGAAAAGGGAGACCGAGAGCTTTAAATGAAAACTCATAGAGACATGATACAATACGCAGAACAATCAATGGTTTGCTGCTAAACAACTTGAAAATCATTTTCTTTTTCTGAACTAAGAGACTGCAGAGGAGACACCTACACGTCTGGAAGCACAGATACTATCACTCCTCACTAGACAAGCAGACCGTTTAACCGGAGTTCCTGCTCCCACTTTTGCTTTGTCTACTTGTGTTGTCTTCTGTGATGATGATAACCTAGTCGCTGTGTTTGGAGTCTGTGGAGGTGTAAACGCCACTGAAGCCGAAGACGTTTGTGCGTGAACCGAATCAGCACCCTCATCCTCTGATGAACACACCCGTTCTCTGCAACAAACCAAAACAATTTATATAAAAAATCATCATAATGGTTGAGTTCCAAGAAGTAGTTAAACTAACCTTGGAAGTGAAGTGTACTTTCTCTGGATAGGTGGAGAGTTACGTTCCTCTTCATCCTCATCATGTTCTTCAAGTCTTGCAAACTCTTGTTTGAACTGATCAACTCCACTTGGGTATAGAAAATGAGAGTTTATGTTCTCTTCTCCTTGTAGATACTCTTGCAACATCTGTGGATGGTACTCTAGAATCTAAATTCACATCCATAAAGATAACACATCAGTTCAAGAGATTCCAAAAGCATATGAGTTCTTGGATGTCTTTTAGTTACCTCTCTGTACATGAGCTCTCTCACATCATCCCTAGTCAGTTTCCTTCTTTCAAACTCAAACTCTAGCTTTGAGATAGGTTGCCTGGAAGGCTCATAGTCTATATTTGCCAATCCTTGAAAATATGGATCAGCTAATGCCTGAAGAAGGAAGCAAACAAAAGCATCAAGAATCAAAGAAGTACATGAAAAAGAAAAACAGAGTTTAAGTTTTCTTCCTCTTACCTCTTCTGCAGAAGGACGGTCCTTTGGATCAAAAGCAACTAAACGCTGAAGCAACTTCAGCGCCACGGGATCGATATTGGGAAACTTATGAGTGAAAGGAACAGGTTCCTTTCTCCTCATGTTACTCAAATACTTTCTAGCCTTCTCATTGCGTATCTACATTTTCCATTCATAACACATTAAAAAACTTGCAACCCTCTAGCTGTGTGAGAGAAGCCTCTGTATTGCGATTAAAACAAACCCTGGATAGAGTTATTGGAGAAGGAGTTCCAAGCAGATCCGTGACGAGTTCAAGCTGATGCACAACGTTTTTGCCAGGGAACAAGGGCTTTCCGGTTAGCATCTCTGCAAATATGCAGCCAACGCTCCACATGTCAATCGCTGGTGTGTACTGCACAAACATATCAAGTTCCATAAGCTCACACATCTTTAAGCATGAGGCCTAATATGGAAAACGAAACAAGTACTTACGTTGGAGTAGAAGGAACCACAGAGCTCTGGAGCACGGTACCATCTTGTTGCAACGTAGTCCTTGCAAAAGAACACAATAGGATTAGTACTTAACTCATTTGAAGTCAACACACACCTCTCTAGGCTTGGGAACTTTTACCCCAAACCGAAGTCTCAACCTTAACTCGAACCAGTTTTTCTGGTTTACGTTATATATTTTGAATATCTTTGGTCAAGTTTTAAAGTTTTTTCGACATTTGTTATAATCGGATCCGAACCAAACCCGACTGAAAGTTAGTAAAATCCGAATGAGACTAATGAGTATAAGACTAATGAGCATACTACCGAAAATCCGAATCAACCGGACCAAATCCGAACGAGACACCAAACGCCTACGCCTACACCTCTGTTACAGAACAATAACTCTCTGCATATTACAATAACTTAGTGATATAGAGATACGTACAGTCCAGAAAACGGCAGAAGGAGAATCAGTGAAGGAAACACGAGCAAGTCCTAGATCACAAATCTTGATCTTGCAATCAGCATTAGCAAGTATGTTCTTAGGCTTCAAATCTCTATGGAAAACATGCGCTACACAACACAAACAAAAAGCCAAAACATGATAAGAACACTCTCATCTAACACAAAAACAAAGAACGAAACTTAAGATGAAACACAAAGAGTATAAACACAGGTTTTGAGAGAAAGGGAACCAAGAGACCTTACCTGAGTGCATAAATTTCAAGCCACGAAGAAGTTGGTACAAGAAGAATTGATGATGCTGAGGAGTGAGGTCATCATTTACCTTTAAGACATGGTGAAGATCTGACTCCATCAGCTCAAAAACCACGTATACATCTTTGAACTCCTTCCGGCAAGGAGGCAGCATGATATGTTTGATCTCCACGATGTCTGGATGTTTCAGTAGCCTGAGAAGCTTGATCTCTCTCAGTATCCGGATGGCGTCAGAGACGTGTTCGAAGACATTGGTCATCTTCTTGATAGCCACTTTGCCACCAGTGTGTGGACATTCGGCAGAAGCAACAACTCCATAGCTTCCTTTTCCGACAACTTCTTGGATCTGGTATTGACTTGCTTCACCGTACTCTGTGAAAAACTCTTTCTCCAACATGATGATGATTCTTTTCACTGTATTAACATTTTCATAATATAAACAAAATATAAATTGTTTTAAATTAACTAAGATATCACTTTTCAGAAATAATACAAACAATCAAGAATATATTAACAGATTTATGATTTAGTGATTATTGTTTTTTTTTAAAACAAATTTAGTGATTATTGATTATGTTTATGATTTATTTACTGTTCAGTATTAAAATGAATTGAGTTTATAAACTCTTTCTCTAACATTTTTTACTCCATCAGGTTAGATCCGGTTTATATTTGTCAGATCCGGTTTACAAATGAAAGAACCAACCAAGAAACATCAAACATCAGATCAAGGAGTTACTCAGAAGAAGAACTCTAATTATACAAAAGTTGAAATTAAAAGAGGGAACAATACAAAGAGACAAACCTTTTGATTAGACTTTAGAACAGAGACAGAGAGAGGTAATGCCACGAAGCTGCTGCAATGGATTAATGGATGTGTCTGCGCTTTGAAGAAGGGGCACACGCGATTACATATTTATATATGAATATATGAATTGCGTAAAGACAAAACAGCTCATGTCAGCTTTGGCGATTACTTTATTTTTAACACACATTTAAAAAAAACACAGATAACATACCATTTTTAAATTTATCAGTAATTATTTTGATAGAAACAAGAAGAAACAACTTGCCAAAATTCCCCAAAAAAACAAGTTAGATAAGCCAAAACAAAATCGTGAAAATAACTTTTTGCTGACAGAGAGTATATTATGAATTTAAAAAAACTAAGAAATCAGATGAACTCACAGTATAAAAATGAAATAAAAATAGGAGAAAAAATGGAAGCCGCATGGCGATTAATAATAATATTCCTGAAATGGGAGCCATGCATTATCTTATCTTCGATACCCAAGTTTCATGGAATAAATTCAACAGAGACGGGGAGAGAAGATAAGGTATTTGAGTATGGTGGCCACGTGTTCTTCTAACCACGCAACGACGACATTTAGCGAACAAAAACGAGTCCGTCTCGTTCAGCAGTTCTGAACTTCTGATTCCATCATCGTTTACCATTCTTGTAAACGGCGTCGCTTTATTGGCGATGTAGAAACGGCGTAGTTTCGACGGAGATAATCAACAGGGCCCATTTAGACTGCTGGCTTTGTCTTTTGATTACTATGAGAACTATCGTATAACATCAGATCTCCACTGAACTATGATTTCATGCTAGATTTCCATGAATTGAAAATTGCAAACCTATTTATCTCTGAATTGAAAATTTCAAACATATTTCTCCCCGAATCAATACTTCAAAACTTAATTACCCACAGATGATGATTTTAATTGGTTTATTCTTAACCAAATATCTTAAAATCAAATAAACCAAACTAAAATCCAATTAAATAAAACAAAATCTTCTTCTGTTGTAATATA